ATTGGAAATTCCATCTCACATCTCATCCTTCTTAGGCAATTCGTTTAGGATCTCCGCCATTAAGTTGTGGAATAGGCTGCCCGACTCCATACGATTGGCTACCTCCCTAACATCTTTTACAACTCTTCTGCATAAACATTTTAACTATATTCTATCCTGCTCAATCTTGACTTTTGTAACTCTTGTATTTCCTATTCTTCTGTATTGCATAGCAATTCATGAATCCGTGAGATTGAGCTTTTTAATTTGTTTTATGAATATTTTTTTGTATTATTTTAGATAAAGGTTCTAATAAAAAAAAGATTTGGTTATGCATTTCTTGCACTTTATCCATAATATTTATTTTCTTAGTTTTTCCCTTACTAGGGTTGCCTGGAAGAGATCGCTTGTTAGCGACAAAGGCCGCCGCGCGTTGCATCCCTTATAATTTTTATGTATTATGGTATTTGTTTTGTATAAATGTAACGAAGTGTGAATAAATAAATATTTGATAGTAATACAAATTTATTTATATACAGTATATACCTATGTGGCTTAGCGATAAATGCGGTACTGTTTTCGCATTACTAAATCAATAAAACCGAAGCAGAAATGTGTACGCTGCCTTATTAAATACGTAAAAATTAGAAAACTTCAAGATTTCGTCTATTACTTAAATTTTAAATTCGAACGCTGTTATGTATTATTTGGTATTATAAATCCGAAACTTAAGTGTTTACTGCGTTTTTCCACTATTAATTTTAGTAATGGTATCTTAGAAACGTCCGGCTACTTTAAGTCTTAATTAACACTACGAAATAAAGTCGCACCTATGTGTAATTTATTCGAATACCAATTTGCGTCAATATCTTTTAAGAACGTAATTAGCCGTCAAATTAGCGGGTGTGTTTTATAATATAATAATTTTAATAAGTGCGATTTAATTGTGCAAGTATGGCAATAAAATCTCCAAGATGAACAACATATTTTCATGGAAATGAATATTTGTGCGTAAATTACTATAATAAGTACATTTAACATTAAGTACTATAGTTTAATAAAAAGTAATTCTTGTTTATTAATTATTCCTTGGCACTTATTAAACTTGTAGAAAAATAACGCTATTCAATAATAATGCTATTCAAAAAAGATTCTTTAAACACATAATTAAACTTTCATTTATAAGGGGTACAGGACATCACACTTCTGCATCTACTTTCCAATGGACAATATTTGTTTAGCCTTGCCTTGCGTCTTCTGTGTCTGCTTTACGCAATTAATTTTCGAATCGTTATGCTAGATTCATTGTGCTTTTTAACCTACTTCATAAAAACAGAAGGACGATCACTTCGACGTATTTTTAGTTTTTGTGTATGTTCACGCATTCAAGCTCCCCCGTCCGTGGATCGATCTAGATTACTTTGGTGTCAAATGATTCAGATTTCCAGCGAATAGGTTCCATAGATAAAGAAGAGAAAGACTTCGAAAAATTAACCAAAGACGATTTAATGAATTATCGTTTCATATATTTTTTACGCGGTAATATAAGATCACTCAATGCAAAGAAGAAATATTATTATTTAATACTTTTCAGTGTATTTTTTGAATTCTATTTTTTAAAAGAATTTATTCGCCATTCGAGCCAACTTCACACAAAGACAGAAAAATCAATTGGTTTAGTGAGATTGAACCCGACTATTAAGACGGTCAAATTATCACACAAAGTTAATTAGATTTTCATAAACTAAAACAAAATTCAGCAGTAATTAAACAACAAACAAAAACACCACATACTGAATAATGTATTCAAAAAATGGAATTTCTTTCCAGCGTGAATTAATATAACACACGCGGGATTCCATTTTACAAGTGCAAACATATAAATATTCATTAAACAACGGCTAGAAAATGGTGGCTCCAAGTAACTTTTATATTAAATTACAAAATGTCCGCGCCACTGACCTTTACTTTTGATATGTCAATTTCATAATTAAAATGCGTTTGACCGTACCAAGGGGATTTGAGAGAAAATTGAATGTTGCCCGGTCGAGTTAACACGGAACCCAAAAGTATAAACTGCCTGAGAAATATAATTAAATGATATGAATAATTGAAAGCTTTATAAGCCTACGAGCGGTTGTTTTAACAATTTTAAAACAATACTAATTTTAAATAACTTTTGCGAGCATTACTCTTGCGAGTAGCGAGGGCTTTTAATGTAAGAAATCGCATGTTTAAGAGATACTTTTTTAAATTTATATTTAGTACGTATCATCACGTGTTTCATGTATAGAAGTCGAATAATTATATAATTACTAACGCATAAAAATTGAAGGACTTCTGGCGTATTTAGATTTTAGAAATCTGTGAACATAAGTGACTAGTGGGTGGACTTTAAATTAAGTAATAGGCATTAGTATGTTTTGTTCGACTATTTATTAGCCTTAATAGGCCATATTACATTAGAATTAAAGTTAAAATAAATTTGTAGTACTCGTGTAAATCTGTTTCATTTTTGTTCAGTATTTTTAAATTTACTTCTATTTTCGCTTAAAATAGATCGTTGAAAACATGATATTTCTTGACCTTCTAGTATTTACAAGAGTGGTGACACAAAATATTCCACACTTTTTTCTACATTTGATAAACCATTATACAGTCGGCTTTCCTCGTTCGGCGTTCATTCTTAAAGACCCACAACTTTAGGCTGGAAGTTCTAAGAATTCTTCCATAGATATTTTCATTATAAAATGTCAACTATTAATGCAATATGTGGTGTAGGCTATCTAAAGTCAACAATACTTTTATTTCCCCATAATTACTGTCGAACTATAAAGACGCAACAGCGTTGTCAACATAAGTAATAGGTTAGTTTAATACCGCATCGACCTTAAATACGACGGGTGGATTACTTTTCTTAGCAGCGTCTAGTTACATTCAAACAATTTTAGTGAAGGTCAAAAATTCCCTACATACACAAATCCTCAAACCATTTTTCTCTATAAATTATTAGTCTCATAATAATGTGGCTTTAAGGCCCCAAGCGCTTAACAACGAAACTATGTTAAAATGCCAATAAACCATGTCTCTGGTAGTTACAAAACGCATGTCAAATACGCTTAGGAAAAATTAAATCGATTAAACCGAGCGTAATAAAAATAACGCCAAATTGTCTCAAATATCTGTGAAATGTGACTCTATAATTGTAGGAAGTCTGTGTTTCGCATTGATCCGGTAATTTGAAGGTCGGCTAATTGTGGAGTAATGCCGGAACTGGGTATGCCAAATGTATTGCCAAATGATTCATGACTTCAAATTATAGTTGGTTTATGGCGAGCTCAGGTAATTTAAATCCTACTCAAAACATTAGATTAGTTTAAAGTTTCATAGAGGATAACATACAATCAAAATTTTATGGACGACGAATATAATGAAGCCTGATAAAACCAGGTGTCCATGGGCTGCGACAGCTGCATTTTATGGTTGTTCATAACTAAAACCTAGTTACTCTTATTCATATAAATAATTTCCCTAAAAAATAGAACCGAGTCCATAATGTACTAAAAAGTATTAAATATCAATATATCATATTTCTGGTATTGATTGGCCTTGTTGAATTTATTTTTGAAAGCAACGCTTCGAATTTTGCGTCGCCTCTTCGGTTTTTTTAAGTTGATTAATAAAAAACTGTAATTAATTAATGTGTCCCTTTCGGTCATATGTAATGTCTGTAAATTACGAAGTAAAACCTACTATTACAATTATTAAGCTTTTAAACATTATTTTCAAACTTATACTAATTTAGACATTTTTTTGCGACTAATTTCATGACTTATGATAATGTTTTAAACACAATAAAATTTAAACAAATAACTACTAAGTTACAATGTGCAGTGTTGCACTAGCAACGTGCGGCCTTCTCGTTAAAAAGCTATATCTTCAAGCTAACACAATAACAACAAATAATTGTGAAGAAGTGCAAAACTTATGGATATATAACACAAAAGATTACAATAATTCATCAAGACTTAATATCAAAAACAAATAATTCAAAGAAATAGTTAGTAATTACCAAGAGAGAGAAAAATAAGCAAATTTAAAAATATGTACAGAGTAATTTAAAATAACAAAAGTGTGCTAATAATGTGTGTGATTACCGAATTTGATAAAAGTGTGCATAATAAGCTATGGTGAAAAGTGATTGTGGAGCAAATGTGTTCAAAAGCATTGCTTGATTTACAATGTGCAGTGTTGCGAAGCATTATATTATCAATATTTATAATTTAAAAAAAATATTAGTAAACTATTCTATTTACAAATTATATTATAACGTTTACGCTTATTTGGTTAAGTGACGTAACTTTTTGTAACAATAAATTAACCAGTCTTAATCTAGTTTCCAACTAAGGTATCACGTGAATTAGGAATGCTAATGAAACAGGAAACAATTCTTAATATTTATTACAAATAAATATTTACATTGGTCATATTTACAGCTGTAACAAAAACAAGTTATAACATAAAAAATGTGCTAAAAGAAACCATATTGTTTATGGCAGTTGACAATGCTTTTATAAATAAATTAAACTAACAAGAATAGACGTAATAGTGTGGTAACAAAGCGAAGCTGAAATCTTATCTATCCTTAAAACAAATATCACAAACGTCACGAAAGCGGGGCTGCCAGAAAAAAAAAATTGTGTACAGATTACCTATGTCCTACAAAAAAACGAAAAATGTAGTCTATTTATAACTGATATAATTAAATCATAAATTATTATATGTACAACATTATAGAATTAAATATTTTATGTTTTACATAGCATTTTTATTACAACTGGCAGTCCCGCACGAAAGTAACAAAACAAAAAATGCTTTCCAACTATATAATTTAACTATTGGTCCGATTATGATACACTAAGCTGTCAAATGACACCAAAAGTCCTTTGACAGTAAAAACTTTTTTTTTTAGTAATTCGGAATGACGGGTACATAATCGGTGTATTTACTATGTACATTTCCTATCGACCATATTGGTTACCTTGTGCGCCTGGTGGTTGGAAACCAAAACCAGAAGCTCCAGGTACAACGCCGCTAGTCTGAGATGGGTCACCGGGGGGAGATGGAGGGAAGACCACAGGTCCTGAAAAAGGATTCTTATTAATACCAGATGCATGCTTAGTAAATAAACGATCGATAACCTGGAACGTTTTCCTTTCTTCTGACTCTGAACTCATGTTCACGGTGAATCAAAGTAAATATGACACCATGCCTTACACCTCAACATAATCTTGTCTATCAAGAAAAATAATTAAATAAAACAGTAAATGTGATGGAGACCACCCATACGGGGCGCGTCACTGGATGTTTAAGATAGTTATGTTAAATTAATCTCTAAATAACGAGTTTATGAATTATTAGACATAGACATAACATTTCTTACTAACAACACACACAGAAACACGCAAAATAACAATAATCAAAAAAATATAAAAAAAGAATGAAATATAACAAATTTTTTTTCTTTTAAAGAGTAAGGTCCGTTTTTACGTAATTCGTGTGTGCTGTGGTTGTAATTGGCCGACTAATCAACAGCGCTGGTCATTCTGCCAGAGACCACAGCAGCTAGTTTGCGCCTCAGTCGCAAAAAAGAAAAATAAATAAGCAGTGTAAGTAATGAAGTCTTGTGTAAAAGTATATAGTAAATAAAAAAAATAAGAATAATTGTTAATAAATAGAATAATAAAATAACAAATAAATATTTTTGGGCGGATTAAAAAGTAGATTACGTGGGATTTTTATAGAGTAGGTAACTAGAATATCAACAATACAAAATACACACAAATGTTAATCATGATACGTGAATTGTATATAAGTATAAAAAATGTTAATAAGATATTTTGCAATGAAAACCTTCAAATAGTGATAAAACCTGTTTAATCGCGTCAAAATATATGTTTAAAGCCGTAATTTATTGTGAAAATAGATTGTATTTTGCGATTTTTTATCAATAAGTTGAATGTTATTTCAGAAACACTTTTTTAAATTTAACTTATCTAATGTTGTTTTCTCGTTCTTTTCCACCACCACATTGCATAAATTAAATCTAATAAAATAAATAACTAATTCCGAAATTACTAAAAGTTTTAAAATAACTGCTGTACGCCTAAAAGGTGAAGTTTAATGGTAAGAGTCTTGACAACGCCAAGTATAAGTTGAATTTGAGATATGGGACATACTTATCGCTTAGTCCCGGCTTTGAATTTTATCCTAACATAATCGTGTCTTAAACAATTCAAAAGTTTTAACTTGTTTCGCAGTTTGTTTACAGTGTTGGCCTAGTGGCTTCAGCGTGCGACTCTCATACCTGAGGTCGTAGGTTCGATCCCCGGCTGTGCAACAATGGACATTCTTTCTATGTGCGCATTTAACATTTGCTCGAACGGTGAAGGAAAATATCGTGAGGAAACCGACATGTCTTAGACCCAAAAAGTCGACGGCGTGTGTCAGGCACTGAAGGCTGATCACCTATTTATCAATTAGATTGTCAAATGATCATGAAACAGATTCAGAAATTTGATACCCAAACCTAAAGAGGTTGTAGCGCCACTGATTTATTAATGTTTTTGTCTTGTTTCAATGGAATATTTAAGATTTATATATAAGTTCATCGCCTTCGAGGGTCTTGAAGGTTACAATGCTCATTAAAGAAAAGTTGACGAACAATATGCAAATTCAATTAGCATCTAGGCTAGATGTATTCAATTAGCATCTAGGCTTTGTAGTATTATTGTTTTTGTAATATCACAAACGTTTTAAAAGTTACTTGACATACTAACATGTTCATTTATAATTTAATTTCAGTCTTATCTTATTGCGCTTCCGCTAGAAGCTATCTTCATAGTGGATCGCCGGTACGAAACCAAAACCGCGAAGGGTCGATTACATGCCATGTTTAATTATTTTAACAAAAGCATACTGTTACGAAAATGCCTGTTGTCTAATTTGTATCGCAATATTTGAATTACTAACATCAGACAATGTCATAATGTTAATTACGATGCATACACTTTTCAATGTTATTATTTACAAGATGGCGCCCAAGTTCTATAGTCTATTGAATACATATGTCATCATTCAATTTTGGCGCCATTGACACACCGATAGTTATATTTTTCACTACCCTGCCCGCAACTTCGCCTGTGCAGGATTAAAATAATATGTGTCCAAATGATGTAGCGTGACGGACATATATTATCTACTTTACCAGAAGCGATAAAAGTATCTATTCATTTAGGAATCAATTTATTAGTACCAAAATTTGCATTAGAAGTAAATTATCAATCTTTTTGTAGTTATGATTCACTATTTTGGCTATATACCTATGTCTTATGTGTACATAAGACATAGATATATACTATGGCGGGCTTTTACGATAAACATTTCCATCATACATTACATATTTGTAATTCTAGCGGTTCTGGCAGCGCACTCCAGCATAGCTCGCAGATGGTAGATATTTTTGCTACTTACTTGATATTTTGGAAAATTCACACAATATCTTTATAAATTGTAGCCTATATGTTATTCTGATGTACAAGCTATATTATTGTAAAGTTTCATCAAAATCCTTTCAGTAGTTTTTACATGAAAGAGTAACAAACATCCATCCATACTTACAAACTTTCGCGTTTATAATATTAGTAGGATTTGCTTCAATTCCATACATTAGAATAGGTATTGAAATTCGATAAAATGATGAAACCTTCAAACATATTAACAATGACTCAGTATGCAACAACTATTATTACAACTGCACTATCTAATGAGAGTTAAACGTGACCTTCGTTTAATTTTAATTGGCTATCAGCCATATAACCTTCAGCATTCACAAACAAAAGAATTTTTACAAACTATGTAATATGTATTGACTAATATCCAATAACTTTCATTGGCCTTAAAATACCTAACAAGTACGAACGACAAATTGTGCACAACTATATCATTTGTACTATAATTATAGGATTGAATAACTTAAGCAATTTCCCGTTTCGTTATAGACTCATAAAAATGCTGCAATTTTGTATTTGGATTTTGCCAATCTTATTATATTAATTTAGGAGCCGTGTTACCCTTCAACGTGTTACCCTCATCCCTGAGGTCGTAGATTCGAACCACGGCTGTGCACCGATGAACTTTCTGTCTATTTGCGCATTCAACACTCGCTCGTACGGCGAAGGAAAACATCGTGAGGACACCTTAGACCCCAAAAATCGACTATGTCAGGCCTAAAAGGCTGATCTCATACTTGCAGATTAGAAAAAAAGCATATGGCAAAACAGAAATCTAAGGCCAGACCTGAGAGGTTGTAGCGCCACTAGTTTTTTTATTTAAAATAGATACTTCTTATATTAAAAGGTAGCATTTAATATTATATAGGTCAGGTAACTCTTCACAGATATATTTACTCTGATCATGCGCAACTAACACATGACAGAACTAATTAAAGTTGAGAGATCATGGAAGTGTCCAACTACGCACGGCTGGACATTTGTTTTATAATATATATTCTATATGTTCATAAAGGATAACGTAGGATTCTAATGGTGACAGAATTTTTAAAATGGTCAGTTTTGTAGCCTATTCAATGCAAACAAACAATTAAATCTATCCTCTTAATAATATTAGATAGTGTAGCTAACCATAGTAGGCTTTAAATCAAATATAGAACGATGCCATTTGCAAAGTAGAATCTGAAGAATTCTAAAAATATTGTTCAAGTTTCACGAAAATTAAGGCATTAGTTTAAGTTCAAAACGAGAGTTCCATTCGTCAAACTAATTAATAATATCTCTGCCTGATTTTCAAAGAGTAAATCTAAATATAATCTAAGTATAAGATGTTTAATTTTCCCTCAAATTAATCGATACGCTTGCTTATTTCTTTTTCGATTTTGTTTTCCTAAGCGTCTAGTCAACCATAGACCATAGACCTTGTTTACCAACGACAAATTATACACAATATGCACAGACTAAATGAGATGTTACACGGCAACATAATGGATAGGTAGGCGTAATGAACCACTTTTGGGCTCAAGGATAATAATAATTTGTTTTTAAGTAACGAGTGGTCGTTTAATACAATTTTAATGGTAGTTTATAAAAACAATGGACCAGTACATTATAAATAGCTGGCATGGCATGTCTTTGTATTTTTCACTGACCAATTTTATAATATATGCCTTGAGTTCATATAAAACCAAGTCATATGTTTTTGTTTTACAGGGAATTGAACGACCATATATTAATAAACGTGGGGACTGATTTAGGTTCTATTTATTACTAACCCATTATATTATTCATCATAGCTAAGATATTTTTGTGAAGAACCTGTCAATTTAACAAATTAAACAGCGAAAGTAAGTAAAGACCCCCCCCCAAAAAAAAAAAAAAAAAAAAAAAAAAAAAAAAAAAAAAAAAAACCAAAAAAAAAAAAAAAAAAAAAAAAAAAAAGGGGAAAAAAGGGAAACCCCCCGATGAACCTATTACAACCAGTATTTTTTAAATAGATTATACATAGTATAAAATCAAAAAGCTCTGATATCTTTATAAAACAATGCAAAGATCCAGAACACATCACTTGTTACTATTAAATGGATACAAAATTAAATTTATTTTTAAAAGTAAATTATATAATTGGTAAGAATTAATTAAAGTCATTAATAACGAATGTACAATTACATCAAGGTCGTCACAGTTCCTTGAAGACTATTGCCAATAAAGATATGTTTTACATTCTGCTTTTAAAATAAAACTTAGTGTAAGTGAGAACAATTAAAATGATTATTGTATGTAATCGAGTTTTGATTTAAAAAAATCATATATTTTACATTCGATATACTTTAACATTGAACTTATTTATTTTGTTAAAGATAATAAGTTTACTGCAGTCCAAAGAGAATATTCCAAATGAAATTGGTGAATCTCACGTAAAGAAAATCCTTGGTCTAATATGGTACCTACCTGTATACTAAAGCCAATATTTTTCCCAGTCATTATGTAGAATAGTTAGATCAACAGTGGCGGTATCGAAAAACGTCGCGGGCATTAAAAAAAACATATAAAGTCAAAGAAAAAACACGCAAAAAGACTTAACTTAAATGAAAATTTATTGTTATAAAGAGATCTTTATCAGTGTTTTAATTAATTGTAATTGCTACAAAGCCTTTTACGAAAGGCGGTAATCTGCAGAAATAATATAATATATCATAAAATATCTAAAAGCCTACTCAAACATTCATCATAAACAAACCTATAACGCCCTTCGTTACTTATGATTACAAAATGACATTGAAGTCACGTGGTCACGTGATACCTCAATTAAAGTTACTTTTAACAACTAAGGTGATGTTATCTTGAACTTTATTGTGAAACCTCTTAAACATTAATGGTATGTTATCTTTATCTACGGTTGTATGTATTTGTTAAACGTATAATACTGTGTATGTCGCGAGATCATATCTATTAAAGATTTAATCTTACTAAAAACATAAAAACAGTTTTTGTTGTAATTATTCAAGAATAAAAACTAATAAGAGTCCCTATATTCCAATATGAGCCTCAAATTGCACGTTTAATTCTTTTCATAACAACTAAATAGTTATTTCTTTTCATAAAAACTAAATAGAAAGTGATCACTCTTCTGCGCCAAGTACAGACATTCAGACCGATGTCTGAGACATATTGGAGTCCCCACAAGCTGTTAATTACAAAATATTAATTGTTAATAAGAAAAAATAGACATTAAGTTTTAGTAAAATGTTGTCATAAAACTTACTAAAAGCTTATCAAATTAAATCATAATATTGGAGTGTAATTCTGTTTTGAACACTTGTTAAACCACAGTATTTGCTTGACGAAGCATGAATTTGTCTTTATGCCCTTAGCACCCTACCCTTGTCAATAACTTTATATTTTGGTATTAATTATAAGTTAGGCTATAATCCGTTACTCGGGTCACCTTTAGTACGAACAAATTTTATTAACGAAGAATTGTAACAAATTCTTTACTAATCTAATATATAAAAGTCTCGTGTCGCGGTGTTTGTAGTTAAACTCCTCCGAAACGGCTTGACCGATTCTCATGAAATTTTGTGTGCATATTGGGTATGTCTGAGAATCGGACAACATCTATTTTTCACCCCCCTAAATGTTAATGGTAGTCCACCCCTAAATTATTATTCTTTTATAATTTTTAGATATTTTTTTTTTTTATGATGCAGCATTAAAAAATACATACAACTATTAATTTTCACTCCTCTACGATCAACCCCTATTTTTTATTATAAATGATATACATGGTAAAACGACGTTTGTCAGGTCAGCTAGTATTAAAATAAAAAAGTTTTTGATTTTTTTTTTAATATTGACTAACAGATATTTTTATTGTGTACTGGTCGTATTTGGAATTAAACGGAATCACGAACATCATGTGTATAGCCATGTATATAAAGTACTGCCTTGTATATAAAGTATATCTATATTTTACGAAATACTGAGAATACATCCTATACCAAATCAATATAATATCTATGCGTTCGAGGAACATAAAGACAACAAGTTGGCGCTTAGAGGCCTCCTTAATCAATGCAAACAATATTTTCGCAGGAATTTGATTTAAATATCCCGATTATTTTTGGTATGATTGAGATGTCTTTTTTAACAAAGGTATGAAAATATGCAGAATATGATATTTAATAATAATAATAATCCAGTGGCGCTAGAACCCCGGATTGCATCAATTTCTATGATCAATTTCATTCCATAGACAATGGACAAGGTGAACAGCCTTCTGTTTGACACGTGTCATCGATTTATGGATTTGAAACATGACATTTTGAATGAGGAACCTCACGATGTTTTCCTTCATCGTATGAGCGAGTGTTTTATGCGCAGATATACAGAAAGTCCAATGAGGTAGAGAAAGTCAAAGATGCACGGCCGGGGATCAAACCTACGACATCAGGGATGAGAGTCGCAACCCAAAGCCTTAATTAGCCTTTAATTCGGTAAAAGACTATAAAATATGATTGTTAAATAAAATATTACTCAAAAATATTTAGTAAAGAGATCGATGTCAAATTCATCGTTTTTGATATGTTCTTAATGATAAAATCTATCCACATTTTGAAGATTTATACAATTATTTTATGATTTTTCTCAGTTCATAAAAAGTGAAAATTTATATGATCATTTTTATATCTATTCAAATTTAATGATTATTATTTAAATACTTTCAATTAAAATATAATAAGATTTATAATTAACCTAAACCTACATTTGGTAGACACACGTCAATTGCACATAGGAAGTGTAATTTCTAATTAAAAAGGATTCCTTGTAAACAGTGCGCGCAGTGTTGAAAGCATTTTGCAACGCTGTGTTGCAATGTGGGCTCATTGTCTTGTGGTCAATTCGAGCTATTAGCAAAGGCATAAACACATTTCCGGTTCACGTAACAATTTATTTGAACATTTGTAATTTATTGATTTTTTAAAATAGATATATTACATGTGAAATATTTATTTATCAAGTAACTATTTAGTTTACTATTTAAATATTTAACCCCAAATATTGACGATCTATTGTATATAAATATAGTATATGTATATAAAGATAAAAAATATATAGTTATCAGTTGAGGCTAAAACGTATTTAAAGTATCTATTATAATGTATTTCTCTGTGTAATTTGTCATTTAGTACAAAGGATTTAGGTAAAACGAAGCTAAACTAATGTATTAGTATATTAATAACGGTTAAACTCGAAAACTACTGGACCGATCCCAAATATTCTTTCACCAGCTACATGATGTTTCTAAATATTTTCAATGTCCAGTCGTTCGAAAAATACAGCTGGATCCCGATCTAGTATATTATTTAAATAATACATACCAGTATTCGCTCTGGGATCCCTCGCTGAAAGACCAGTGAAGCCACCACCGAAGCTACCTATGTAACCATTGCCGAAACCAAAGTTATACTGCGCTGATGTTAACGCGAGGCACCCGCATAGTACTAAGACCTGAAACAATAGACAAAAAAATAATTTTATACCGATTCAAATAAAAAGATAATGTTTAACCTTTTATTTATAATCTTTGATCTAGATTTTAAATAAAAATGTTGCAAGTCTTGAAAAACTCATTACAATGAAAATCGAGTAAAGACCTAGAAAAAAAGGAAAAGCTAGACCGAGGTTAGGTTCTAAATTTATGTATAATATTATTACTGTACATATTTGTAATCTATATCATGTATCAACAAATTTATATTATGTTTCCTAGGAAAATTATAAAAAATATTTTATTTTAAATATTTTTTTTGGCGCAAGTAGTTTTTTGTCATCAATAATGTTTCATCTCTGAAGAGTTCCCAGGAACACAAGGCAGGAAGTATTTGTATGTCTTAATCTCTGTTTTTTGATGAGAAATACAATAATTATAATCATTAACCAATAGAACGTTTCTTTATAGCACTTATATTTGACAATTAAATATAATAAAATACTATGTATGTTAGCTAAAATATTATAGCTATAGCGCGTAAGGATCTGGAAACAGCATACATTTTGAAAATATCTCTATATATATAAAATTCTCGTGTCACAATGTTCGTTCACATACTCCTCCGAAACGGCTCGACCTATTTTTATGCATATTCAGTAAGTCTCAGAATCGGCTACTATCTATCGTTAAACCCCTTAAGTGATAAGGGGTCCGGTAATTCCACACCAAAAAATTTTTTTTAAATTTTTAGAATTTTTTTTTGTTTTTATTTTTTTATGATTATAACATACAAAAATACATACAACACTTAATTTTCATCTACCCTCTACGATCAACCCCTATTTTTTATTTGTTAGTTAAGAACTTATAACTTGAGGGTTTATATTATAGAGAAAAATCACAGAAAAACCTAAAATGTTTTCATTCCGGAAAACCGAACAGTTTCAGGGGTAGCAAAGCAAAATGTTCCATGTTGGTATGTACTAAAAAGGTATTACTGACACAACATTTAATAATGTTTTAAACAAAATAGAATAATAAGACTAGATTTTGCGATATGCTAACTTAGATCGACTTAAAGCATTTACGTAATTTCATTTACGTGTACACGTTTTAACTAAAGCCTATCTCAAGAACATTTTGATAAGACTATAAATCAAATTGTTGCTTTAAAGATTTATAGTCTTGCCGAAGGATTATTGGAAATGTTTGTACCTTTCTATTTCGTTGATTACTCTTGTGAAATCTTTACTCTGTTCCCGAGAAAATAATAGACCTATTTTAAGTAATTTTGCTACAATTACTTGGAAAAGCAAAAAATATTTAAGGATAGAAACTTTAACAAACCAAGAATGTGCTGTCTGTACCTATGTATTTTAGGCCATTGAGATCCCATTAAATAACCAATAATTTATGAAAAATAGCTGTGATCTAAAAATGTACACAGCACAAACGATAGTTTAGTCTAAGGATAGTATAAATAGACACGATTTCACATCTTTCAACCGCACGAACGCATATAATACGTTTAAACTCTTAATTGCAATCCTCTAATTCATGTATTATTTCGTCTTATTCTGGTAAATTGTATTTTAGCTGTGATGAAAAGGGACAAATGATACTTTAGTAAATCGAGTTTATGTTTAATTAATGATTTTACATACTGTTTCTATACAGAGTGAAATACTGGTGTTAATCTAATTTACAGCGAAGGATGTAATATTATTTGCTTGTGTAGTCCTACGCGAAAATAATTTTAATCAAATTCATGATTAATTACAATCCACAATCCGTGATTTATATAAGAATGTCGCACAATTCTTAACATTGTTAATTATTACGTCATTGTTTGGGTTACTGTATCAAGGTTAGTCAGATCTTGTGATTTTATTAAAATTTATAGAGTATAGATTAAAAACTTTCACGTAACGCAAGGATATTATTTATGACTAAAATTAGTGTCAACTAAAACTAGAGATCTGCCTGGTACTAGATTTAGCCAAATTGGGCTGATTAAGATAATATTTATTTGAAAAAAACTATCTACTTAGATATTTTGTAGCTGTATCTAATATTACCCGATAAGTTACTTCCCTCCTGCGTTGTTCTTTTAATTTCATAAATAATGAAAAGAAACACGACACGTGCGTGAAAAGTCGCTAGTATTCTGTAAACGAAGCAATTGCTGAACTTTACATAACTGGTTGCACCGAAACGGGTGCTGAACTTGATATGTGACCTCAGCTGAGGTTCGTATGAAGGCGGACTTGTATGCATTAGTCATACATGCTTGCATTCTAAGCAATGCCGAGTAGGGAAAACTTTACTAAGCTACCGCAAGCTTTATCTATGAAGACATAAAGAAGTCTTGGGTCTATGGGTGAGCGAGAGTCTTTACAGAGCTTTTCTAGGAGTAGTTTCTTGCATTCCTTTTTTGTGTGTAGTTTGTACGTTTGTCACAGTGTAGATGAGGCAGGTAGATCAGACTTTTCCGTGACAAGTGTTAATGCTTAACAGGAGGGTCTATAAATGAGTTTATAAAATAAATTTTAATGAAGGAGAAATGCGGTCACCTAAACCTAAACTGGTCCGTTTACTGGATGTCTTCGTATAATTACGCGTTTCAGTTTTGGTCGTTAATTGGCTTGCGTTTAAGCTCACAAATAATATTGCGATAACTGTTACTTCTTGTTTAACATTTGATAGTCGCGGCGCTAAAGAATTAAAATCTTCTCCTACAATAACGCTAAATATTTAAGGTTAGTGACCACGTTGTGTGACATCTTTGATATATATAAACTTAAATTACGTTGTCTATTGATTAAAATATCATAACAGCTATTGTAATAGGTAGATATATCTAATCTAAGTGTTTTTGAAATATTGCTTTTAAAGGAAATGAGTTCATACAAGTACATAGTATAGGTGAGGCAAATTTTGGTTTAATTCTAAACTACATTACCTAACTGCTTTTGCTCTAAATTAATATACAGTTATAAACTTCAAGCGTGCCTCAAGCGATCGGTATTAGAATGTTAATATTGTTGTTGCTATTGCAATATTTTACTGAATATCAGACTCTTCCCAGGACAAGCTATTGAAGAACCGGTAACTTGTTTTACATTCATGGTCTGAGAACGCTAGATTTCGTCTAAAAGCTTTGTTTAATAAATTAATAAATTATTATTCTTGTCAATCGTATCGTAAGTTAAAACACTTCTTAGTAGAAAGCTCAAAAGTTCTCAATTAAAAAGTTTAAGATGATTTTATTACTGAATAATATAGCAACTAAATTGTTATATAAATTAACTCCCCCCCCCCTCCCCCCCTCTTTTTTTTTCTAACCAACCACCACCCATCGGGTTTGCTCCCCGTCCCCCTCCCCACCCTTGTTGGGTTGGGTGGGTGGGAAGGAGGGGGGTTGGTTTTGTTTTTTTTTTTTTTTAAAAAAAAAAAAAAGAGGGTGGAAGGTTTTATTAAAAAAAAAAAAAAAAAAAGGGGAGGGGGGAGGGGGGAGGAAAAAAAAAGGGGGGGGAGGTATGTTTACTGCTTAATTCTTTCCCCCCCCCCCCCCCCCCCCCCCCCCCCACCCCCCCCCACCAACAAGGCCCCCCCCCCCCCCCCCCCCCCCCCCGGGCCCGGGGGGTTCCGGGGGGGGAAGGGGGGTTTTTTTATAAAAAAAGGAAAAAAATAAACAGGGGGGGCCCCCCCCAAAAATTTGGGGGGGGGGAAAAAAAAGAAAACCCTTTTTTTTTTTTTTTTTTTTTAATAAACAAAAAATTTATTAGAAAACGGGGGGCCTTTTTGGGGGGATTGTGAGAAAAAATTGTGAAAACGTGAATTTTATATATTAGATTATTCATAAACTGACAACTGAGATTTAATCAAATTGTCATTACTAATTCAATCACTTAAAAAGTATGAAATGTTATGGTACGCTTATGAATGATTCGAAGATTTCTTATGCGCGTACAAAGAAGAAAAGTCCATTGGTACTGAACCGGGATTTGAACCCACGACATTGGCATTGAGAATTGCACGCTTAAGCCTCTGCCAACACTGCACTGCTCTGACTTCATTTAAAAATTCACTTCTTCCTTTCGCTCATGCTTTAAACTTGATGACTATATTTCCAACCTTGATTATTCATTCCGTGATTTGAACTATTTGAACCAGCGAATAAACAAACAACAAACACGGATTACTTTCGATCCGTTCGCCTCATAACGATGATAGTTAGCTTGTTATCCTTTACTAGAACAAGGTTTTGTTAAGTAATCATTTTCATAAATTCTTCAACGTACATTCTAGTCCGGCATCCCAACAAGGACGTTTACGTAGTAATCCTTGTTTAAAACAATTGCTACAATATGTAAGGGCTTACAAGTTACAGACGTACTTAGAAACGACTATACATTTATATCTAAAGGTTATATAATCTAGCTGAAAATTGAAATAACATCTGACCTGGTTTAATCTACGAAATGGGTAAAAAAATCTCCTATATTAAAATCAATGTATCAAATATAATATCAACTAGAAGTAGTGTTATAAACCAAACCACGTAACTTAGTATTTATGTGCCGATACTAAGTATAAATGCTTAAATGAACTATTTGCCATTATCTGAATAGCATATCTATTTGAGTCATAGGAAAAGGAGTGAACAAAATCTATTATTAAGTTTCTTATAGCAGACGTGAAAGGTGCACTATTTACGAAATTGTCTCGTATTACACGGAAATACGTAGTTAAACTACTAGAGTTATATCATTGATAATATTTTTATTGCAATAGGATTTCTTAAAATTAATAAATGTCACCGACGACGTCATTTTTTAAATACAAATAATAAGACACAAAAATATACTTGTTACTTTGTTTCTGACGCATTTTAAATTTAGCAATCTACTGCTTTCGATAATTGAATTAGTTGCTATAATTAGCCGAAAAAGTATAGAAAATGGACCCCAGTTTTTGAGTAGGTGAAAACACCAGATCTAGCGACTACTTGCTC